CGCGTTTTCTTTGGCCGCGTCCACGAGCGCCTCCCCCCCCCCCTCTCCTCTCTCTCTGTCGCTATGATATGCGATAAGGGTGAAACGCTGGCCGTGTCACCGCCCGATAGACTCGCAGCCAGGTGGGGCGGGGCCAGGGGCGGGGCCTGGTGGAACACCCGAGGGGGAACGCCCGAGGGGGAGGGGAACACCCCGCTCGGCGCCGCGCTTCCGTATTCGCGGAGCGTTATAACGAGGATTTCGATGCGACGACGCCATGGTGCTGCGGCGGTCCTGATCCCGATGATGGCGTGGGCGTGGGGCCGCCGTTCCCAATGTTGTGGCGGCGGTGGTGTTCTCGATGGTGTGGGCGTTCCTGCAGGTCGTGCACTGCACCGCCGGCCGCCGCGGCCGATGTCTTCCTGCTGGCCGGCTCCCACATCAGATCGGTCCAAATCAGACGCGACATGGTTGGGTGGGGCGGGGAGGGGTGGGGTATGATCCCTTGGCAGAGCGGCTCCCTCACGACCCCGGCACGCAGCACCACTAGAGTGGCCTGCCAACATCTTGTCCAGCGGCGCGCTTCTCTGCAGGATGCGCGAGCGAATCAAGTCCACTCACCTGCGCCACGACGCGCCTGTTGTTTCCCAGTGATTATAAGACAAGTTTTCTTTTTTGTTGTTGTTTTTTTGCCCCTCAGAAAGTGTGTGGTCGCCGTGTCATTTGAACCCCGTGTCCTCCTAACGGGCTCGCACAAGACCCGCCCATCTGTCTGCCCATCGCGCCTCTGCCGCCCTCACCTCCCTCTCGCGTCAGCAGCAGCAGCAGCGGCCGTCCCGAGCTCGTCCGGTCCGACGGCAGCGCGGCGGCAGCCACTTTCAATCTTGATAAAAGCGAGTTTCAAAATCCGTTTGGCACGATCGTGACACGCGGGGCGTGTTTGCATGCGAGTCACACCCCGTGCCGGTGACACGGCGAGCGCCGGGGCCGCGGGACCGGGACGGGCCGGCCGGGAGGGACACCACATCACACTGCGCTGTGTGCTTTTTTCCTCTGCTTGTTCTCCTCCGTGAGATGTTCGCCGGGTGGGGCCGGGCGGGGCGGGCGAGGCGGGGGCAACTATCAGGACTTCCTCCTGGCAGCGGCCGCCCCGCCGATGGTGGTCGGGGCAGCGCGCTACAGTTGTGCAACTATCGATGATGCAGTGGTCGCCACCGGTGAAAAAGCGATGCCGCTGTCGCTGCCGCGGGGTCTCTTATCTGCCACTACTGCACCCCGCTGTCCCTCGCCATCCTCCCCTCCCTCCACTTCCTTCCCCCTTTCTCCCCCTCGCGCCTTTAATGCTGCTGGTTTGACCGGGATTGGAAAAAAAGGCGCCTGGAAAACGCCACGCGCGCGGCGGACTGCGCGCTTGTTTCAATAATTAGTTCCGGCCCGATATAACAAGATGCGATTGAAACTATATTATTGAACCCATGAGGCTATCCGCGTGGTGGTGGACTCCTATGGCGATTACAGAGAGGCGGGTGCAAGCAGGCTCCTAGCGTCCTCCTCCTCCTCGGCGGGGTGTGCCAACCGCACCGGATGCAGCGCGCGGTGGACCGGGAGCCTTGCCTCACACCGCCGCACCGCCACTTTGCAGGTGGACGTGAACGTCATCAACGGCGTCCTCGTCCTCGTGGCGGTGCACTGGGCTGGACGTGTTGGTGTCGCGTAAAGGCGATGAAAAACGGGGAACGATTTTGGTCAAAATCGAGGAGGCGCGGGGTGTCAAACGACACCGGCTATGGGCCGTCGGCGGCGTCCGGCACGGTCGGGTCAGCCAACCTACCGACCGGCGGCGCCAGCGCGTCCCCCTGGCTGGTTGTGCAAGGCCGATATGCTTGGCACGGTTGGCACCACTACCTGAAACAGGAAGCTGCCGCCGCCGCCGCCGGCGCGCGGATACGTCTCGTTTTCACCCCGCGAGGTTGGCAGTCGGCCGCGCGCGACAACCAGGGCGAGAGGGAAATAAAAGAGAATGAACGACACGTGCTTCAGGGTGTGTGAGCCACTTCGAGTAAACTCGTTTTTGTCCCCTCGTATATATTTTATGTAACTGCGTAACAACGGTGATGTTTCTAGTGTCAAAGCGGACGATGCAGTCATATTCGACCTAGCCTAAAACCCTTTTAACGACTCACTGCAATTCCCTTCAAATAAATGCTTTTACTGTTTATACTTACTCTTACACAATTTTAACGCACGAATCGCGTGCGCCACTATGAACCAACAGTGTAATTGTACTTTCGAATCTTTACATACCCAGAGAACCATTTATTTGATAATACTAAATCAGGGTTGTAAGAACCAAAATGATATCCTAAAACCGACTAAAATTGAGTAACCCCATTTTCAACTAAATATGGTCACATATCAATCATATCAAGTCAGGTGGACTAAATTATTTCATCGCCACAGATAAATTTTGGTCCCCAGAGCTTAAATTTCGTCGGTTTTGAATTTGATTCTCTGGACTAAACGGTCTTCTGGGTGTAATAAGTTCATGTTGATGACACGGCTGCTCTACATCGTCGTGCCCACCTTGCAGGGGCGTGAGGGTGTTGAACCCATCCTGGCTCCGCGGGCTCCGCGGGCCGGCGCGCCTCCCCGCCCGACCCGCTGCAGGCGGGCCCCTATCACGCGTGATTACGAGACGGAAGCTGCTGCTGTAGCTGCTGCAGCGCGGGGGAGACCCTTTTCAGTCTGGCGGGCCAAAGGGAAAGGGGAGAGGGGGGAAGGAGGGGGGTCCTCAAAGGAAATGATTTCATCAACTCGGGTGCGTTTGCGCTCGCCATGCAGTCCAGCCTGGCCTGGAGGTTCGAGGACACGAATTGGGGGGCGGGAGAGGGGGACGAAACACGACGGCGGCCGTGCAGTATGAATCTACTACGATCCAAAATTAATACAACAACATTCTTTGCCGTTAGGTGATGGTAGTTTGTTTTTTGTGATACACGAGAAGACTGTAGTGAAATTATCATTTTTGTCGTTTTTGTTGTTTTTGTTTGTTTTTATGCGGCAGGGTTTATTTGAAAGTATCTCTGACCTTTAGCATCTCCCGCGATCCCATATGGCCATTTTACGCGTGTTAGCTGCTTATGCCGGTGCTGCCTCTCGGGTTTGAAGCCGTTGGATCTGGTCACCCACCTTCTGATCCGCCCCTAAGCCCCGCCCCGCGAGCCGGGCCGCGGCGGCGTGGCATTGCGAGTGACGGCGCGGCTAGTCAGCCGCCTCATTGAGCTGTTGGGGGTCGCCGGCTCCCTCAGCCGTATTTACGTTCACATTTAATCGCCTTATATATTCGCCCGAGCCTCGTGGTGGCCACCCACTGCAGTGCCGCCGCCCGCACTGCGCGAGTACACGACAGTAATAACTGCTGCTGCTCTGAAGCGCGCGACATCATGAATGTCTAATGACGAGAAGTAGCTTTGCGCAAACACGTTTTGACTGAATTACAATAACGTTTTAACACTTTTAGTTCTCTTAAGCGCCTTATTGCACATGCAAACGCACCAAACTCAACATTTTTCTGAACCCTGCAAAGGTGCAGTGTGATGGTTTGTGTGAAAACTTGAAATCACCGTTTCATCCATTAGTAAGAAATCCGCCCTGCTGCTATACTTCTCGAAGCCTAACGCTTCTAATGATGCTTCTACTCGTCGCACACCGCGCTGCTGTTTGACCCGTTACGTCCTGCGGCGCGTTGGCCAATGGGCGCTGCAGTGGGGGCGCCCCGGATCTGGACTGTATATGCCTCCGGATTTGATTGGCTGCCGGCGTACGACGCGCGGAAGGCCTGGCTGGATAAGGATGGATGGATGGATCGGGCGCCAAGTGTGAATGGTGCCAACACCAAGGGTTGCGGAGCAAAAGGAGCACGATGGAGCAGGGAGGGGGTATGAAAAATGAATGTTTGGTTTGAAAGGGATAATAAGAAAAGGAATAATAAAAAAAGAAATGATGGTCCATTGCTGGAGGCTTGGCAGGTGGACCAGCCCCCCAAAGCCCTCCGCTGCTCGCACCAAAGTACTTTGACCTGATTCCTCCGCGCTCCCCTCCCTGCCCTACCCTAACAACAACGTAAAGGTGCGTGTAATTTTCGAGGCCCGGGTCATAACTCGGCTTTGGACCTGGTCGTAACGCCGTGGCCGCGAACCTCCTCCTCCTCGCGCCGCCCCCCGCGCCGCCCCCCGCGCCGCCCCCGGCCGCCCCTGGCCGTCCGCCCCAGTCTGCTGTTTGTCACGCTTTGTGATGGGCTAGACTTTTATTGTTCCCGTTTAGCGGGTCCGCCCGCTCAGCTCAGCTCCGCTCCGCCGCGCCGCCACCGCTCTTCTTGCGATGCGATGCCTTTAATTCACGGACTCATAATTATTAAACGTTGGCCGTCGGCCATAACTCCCTCGTTTGGTTATGGGGGTCGGGACTCCTCTTCTGGCCGCCGCCGCCGCCGCCGCTGCTTCTGCCCGGCTCGGATTGACCGCGTTGGGGAGGGCGGTGGGGGTACTGGAGGAGGAGGAAGAAGAAGAGGGGGTCTCATTTGGAAGTTAAATGCGCTGCGATTACGGCAATCGACTTCACTTATCGCAGTGACGCGACGGAAAGGACCACCAGGGCACTGGGGCTGAGCGGGGGAAATATGATACTCGCGTGCAAGCCAGCCAGCGGCTGCAGCGGGGCCTGCAGGCCGCTCCAGAGAACCCCCGCACGACCCGGGTCAGACTTGAAAAAAAATATATACATAAATACAAAAAAATAAGTTTATGTTGCACATTTTGTTTTTCTTTTGCACCCGCTTGTGTTTGTTGACAGTCATTGCCGCAGGTTGTGCGCCAAGTACTTTATGTAGTATTCCCTTTTACCCGAAAGGCTGTACTTTGCACCTGTGGGCCCATGATAATTTTTTTTGCAATGTTTCTGTCTTGCATCTTTTTGCACATGTTCCTTCAAAGTGTCTAATACATTCTCCTTTTTTTCCGCAGGGGGAAGTACGCGACGGTGCGGCGGTGTCGTTGCCGGCGCACGGGCCAGCAGTTCGCCGCCAAGGTGGTCCGCAAGCGGCGGCGCTCGGCCGACCTGCGCGCCGAGATCCTGCACGAGGTGGCCGTGCTGGACGCATGTCGGGGCTGCCCGCGGATAGTGCGCCTGCACAGCGTGTTCGAGTCGCACAGCGACATGGTGCTGCTGCTCGAGCTGTGAGTATATCATCATCATGCTCATCATCATGATTACCATCATTAAAATCACCATCATGAGGTGAACAGTCCGAGTTTTTGAGGGAAAAGGGAAAACTTTAAATATAACCTCCATAATTTGCCTCCAATTTTGAGGAAGTCTCCTTAAAAAATGTGGGAATTCCCTTAAAATCTTGTATGAAATATCCCTGAAGTACAAGAGGTTTTCCACAAATTATTGCAGGAGTTCCTCCAAGTTTTCCCTTTTTCCTCAAAAATCCGACATTGTTTTTACCATGACACACTATGGTGAGAAAAATTGTCCTCGAAATGAAACGCTCGTGGCTTCTTTTTTTATTATTCCTAAACATCAAGTCAACATCACTTTTTCCATTGACCACTATCTGGAGCTGCCAGAGAAATTTTAAGACTACTTTTATTTAAGTAGCTCATATTTTCCTCGTTTCCAACACAAAATTTAGGACCCACAGCTCTCGAACAAAACAAGAAAACTAATCAATTGTTTCTAAATTTCTGAATTTAAAACACGACGTTTGTTACAATCACGACAGTTTAGTCTTCATTCTGTGCCCCCCCCCCCCCCCAAACACGATACAACCGAACTCACACGCGCACGCACGTGTCCGTCCCGTCCGCTGATCTCGCCTTTGTGAATTTGAATCTCGCTCCGGCCGGTGGGCTCGCTAGGAAGAGGATAAGTAAGTCAGCTTCGGGTGGGCGTGTGGTGGGGCGTGGCGGGGCGTGGCGGGGCGTGGCGGGGCTGGCGGGCAGGTGCTCGGCGCTCCCTGATGGAGTGGCTCACCGCCACGCCGACCGTGATGGAGTATACTGCTTCGCCTGTGTGGATTACCCACGATGGCCTTTCCCTTATCCCCGCCGGCGGCCCGGCCCGGCCCTCATCCGCACTCTGCTTATCCGACCCTATATGCCCCGCACAATAGAGTGCGCGCTTGGGGGTCGGGTTATCGGTATACTACTCGCCCGCCCTGCCCCGCACAACCATCCACCACGCCCCCTGGAACTGCCTGGAAACACCCCCTCGGGCGAACCTGTAACCTTGAATCCGCGCGCCGTCGAGTCGTCGGAGCGCGAACAGGGCCACGGGCAGCAGCGCAGCGCTGCGTGGCTCAGGCAGACGAGACGAGCCTTTGTCGGTTTACGACAACGTCACTCTCGCGCCATCTCTCCGGGAGGTATTTGGGAGAGTCCGTCATGTTCGATCGTGCTGGCGGGGCGGGGCGGGGCGGGGCGGCCGGTCCCCCAGCCAAGTCCCCCTATGTTGGAGACCCGCGTGCGTGGCAGGGCAGGGCTGGGAGCCGCAGGGCTATTGGTGGGGCCGCTCGCACACCCAAACACTCACTAACACACACACATACGCGCCGAGTTGGTTGTTGGTTTGCATCCTCTCCTGGCGGTGGCCCTGCAAGTGGGTCACGCGAGAAGTAAGACAATGTGTAAAAGTTTAACTGCGAGTGGACCACGCCGGGCCGGCGGGCAGGCCGGCGGCGCAAGGTGAGCGTCGTGCCGCCAGCCCCGCCAGCCCGACTCTAAAGGGCGGCCCCGCCGGCCCCGCGCCGCCCCACCCGGGCTGGCAGCCGCGGGAGGAGCCTTTAGCGCGTTAATTTGTTTGAGCTCTCTCCACGCGCGGTGCGGCCAAATCCCAAGAGTATGGTAGTTGTAAGAGCCGCAGTGCCAGCTGCGCGAGTGGGAATGTGGCCGGTATAGTGCCACTATAGTGCTGATAACAACCATCACACAATAATTAGTCCCATTTGGCGGGAGTCGGAAAAGTGTGGTTGGTGGAGAGGGGACCATCATCCGACTCATTTGGGTGCGAGGAGACGGATTGGCGATGGTACAGGTTTGCATGGAGGTAGCTGCGTCCATCCTGAAGCAGCTGTCCTACAGTGCTCTTGTCAGACGGCCTCGTGTCGCTTCGTCTGAGAAGGCGCCTGGCAGGTATGCGCGCCTGTTGAGCTCCGCTCCGCGCCGGGTGGCCTACCGAGCCAGGCGCCACGCAGCGCAGCGCTCTCAGTGGGACGGCAGGCGAGGCGCTTCGCTCGGGGGGGGGGGCGCCTGGCAGGTAGGCATGCCTGTTGAGCTCCGCTCCGCGCCGGGTGGCCTACCGAGCCAGGCGCCACGCAGCGCAGCGCTCTCAGTGGGACGGCAGGCGAGGCGCTTCGCTCGGGGGGGGGGGCGCCTGGCAGGTATGCGCGCCTGTTGAGCTCCGCTCCGCGCCGGGTGGCCTACCGAGCCAGGCGCCTCGCAGCACATCGCTCTCAGTGGGCCGGCAGGCAAGGCGCTCCGCTCGGGGGGGGGGCGCCTGGCAGGTAGGCATGCCTGTTGAGCTCCGCTCCGCGCCGGGTGGCCTACCGAGCCAGGCGCCTCGCAGCGCATCGCTCTCAGCCGGCGGCGGCCGGCTGGCGGGTGCTCTCACCTCCGCTCGGGGGGGCACCTGGCAGGTAGGCATGCCTGTTGAGCTCCGCGTCACACCGGGCGGCCTATCCAGGCAGGCGGTCGTCGCGGCCGCGGGGCCTCGAGTAGGAAGGTCCTCTAGCTGGCCAGGACGGGGCAGAAAGGGCATTTAGCTGCCGTGGCTTTCAATCCAATTCATACATTAAAAATTTAAAATTAGTTCTCCAGGCCGTCCAACAGGGTAACTTGGGAGGCACGAGGCGGCCGGATTTGGATCGCGGACCCGCGGTGTGTGTGTGTGTGTAGCTCATCGCAGCGTCGGTGACGTCATCCCACCACGGGGGCTCACAATTAGAGAGCTATTGAGGAGCTGGGGCCGCCCACTGTCCGCACACACACGCACATCCACACACTCACAAACACCTCACCAAGAGTCTTAGTTTGCGAAGAGCGCGTCGCTGGCGACGCCTCGAATAAATAATAGCGTTTTCTTTCACCGCGCGCGACATTGCAACAACAAATAATTGAAACGACTTGTTTTTTCTTTCTTCCCCGCCAGGGCGGCCGGCGGCGAGCTGCAGATGGTCCTGGACCGCGACGAGGTGCCCGAGGAGCGCGAGGTGGCGCGGCTCATGCGGCAGATCCTGCACGGCCTCATCTACCTGCACGACATCAACGTGGCGCACCTGGACCTCAAGGTGAGTAGCAGGCCGCACAGCCTGGCGCAGTATTTTAAAGAAAGTTTTCAAAAATGTCTAAATTTTCTTCAGGCCTTCAAAGCTTTTTTCTTACTCTCAAAAAAAATTCTGATTTAAAAACGAAAAGATTTTGAAAATCTTCCATTTTTTTCGGAATTTTTGGGAGCTTTAAAATCCTTAGAGGCACCGGCGCGGCCTCCACGGCCTGCTTTACCTCCGAATAACCATTTCCCCGCCCAACCTCTCAAGTGGGCTCGAATGATGCCCCAGACGACGTTTGTCCCGCTAGTCGTTTTATGGCTCCATCCGATCCCGATCGGCCGCTAGCTGCACGAGCGTCTGTCTGCAGCGTGTGTTTGCAGGTCCACGGCGCCTCCTCGGGCCCCACCGGCCGCGCCGAGTGGGACTCGAGCCACTCGAGCTTGGGGGGGATGAGGCTGCAATTGCGGCACATTTATTTAATTTTTTTGAACGCGGCGATTCGATGACCTTTGGCTAAAGAAATCATCGATGCACTGTGTGGGTGAACTCGGGTGGTGACCCGAGTTTCAGTGAACCTCGATGAAAGTACGTCGATGAGAATTATAACAGTTGGCTTTGCGGCGCACTTCGTCAAAAAAAAAAGAGTACGCTCTTTATTTTTCGAAGCTTCATCTCCCGCTATTTCCCCTCGCGACAGGGCCCGAGGCCCTTCTTGATTGGTCTTGATCCCGCCTGTCAGTCTGCGTGGGGAGGGGTCGAGCTTTGGGGTGCACGGTGTGTGAAGGCGAGACTGTTGTTGTGGTACAGGAGGGGGAGCCGCTGCCGCTGGCCGGCTGCAGTGGGGTAGGCCAGGGCAACAGGGCAGGGCAGGGCAGGGCAGGGCAGGGCAGGGCAGGGCAGGGCAGGGCAGGGCAGTGCAGTGCAGGGCAGGGCAGGGCAGGGCAGGGCAGGGCAGGGCAGGGCAACAGGGCAGGGCAACAGGGCAGGGCATGGCAGGGCAGGGCAGGGTCGCGGTTGGGGCAGCAGGAGCCGCTGCTCTTCCGGCCGGCTATCTCCCATAGAGTGCGTGCGCAGCGCGCGAAGCTCACGCCATACGCACTATCGCGCCCAGCTGCGCGCGCAGCTCGGCGTGGGAGACGCGTTCACGCCGCAGAAACGCTGCCGCTGCTGCTGCTGCTTGCTGCTGATGTTTGGCATTTCGACCAAAAATGTTCTTCCGTCGCGGTGGTGGTGGGACTTGGGTTGTACTGCGCATCACCACCGTCCGTCCACCGTGTCAGCAACTCCCCATGGTCGTCTCTGTATCTGGCTGGGCGGGGCCGCCTATGCCTGCCTGGCCTGACCGTTGCACAACTCGTTCGGTCTATTGAATGGATTTAATGCCACCACTGTGCTGCTGCGGCTGCTACTACCACTACTCCTCTTTGCCGCTCTGGGCGGTACTTGGGGGACTGCCTCCCCCCTCCCGCACCGAACGCACCTCAAAGGGACCACGCACCGAGGCGTCGACGACCATAGAGGAGAGGACGGACAGGTGTGATTGGCAACTCTAGCGTGCTTGTGCTAGTCTGTGTTCGTACAGGTTGCCGCTGTGTGTGTGTGTTTGGGGCGTGCACGTTAACCATTGCAGCACCGTTTAACATGCATATCGTCTGACGCAGACAGACAGAGAGACAACCAGTATATTTTACCGAGGGGGTGCGGTGCGGATGGGTGGGCGGGGTCATCAGCGCTCATCATGGACCATCACGATCATCCGCATCCTCGCCACCAGCAGCGGCAGCAGTAGCGGCAGCAGCAGCAGCAGCGCCCGATACGCCTCGCCTTGCACGATGCGCGTCGAATGAGCCGGAGGAGGAGGGGGAGGAGGGAGAAGGAGGAGGGGGTGCACCGCGTTGATTAGGACGGCGTCGGCGCACGCGCGGGGTCCGCGGGGTCCGCGACGACGGGCGCGGTGCACGAGGCGTTTGATTTGCGATCTGTTCCCTCCCCCTCCCCTCCCCTCCCCTTTCTCCCCCGCCCCCTCCCCCTCATCAGTTGTTGTGCTCTTCCCCCAGGGGAGCAGGCGATCGGCCAGACGGCCTGTATGGGCCAGCGAGGGGTTGATGGTTTGCACTGCTGCAGTGTGTCGCCACTACTGTGTTGACTCAAGATTAACGCAAACAATTTATGCGTGCGTGTGTGTGTGTGTGCGAGTGCCTGGGTGGGGAAGGGGGAGCTGCCCTGCACTGTCCTCCTGGGGTGCTGCTGGAGGAGGGGTTGCCTTTGCCGCTCTTGGCCTACACATCATCTTTTGGAGGTGCTTCTATGGCCTGCACCCCGCGGCCTTGTGGTCCCGCCGTGGCCAGTGCTGGCGTCTTCCTCGTGAGCAGGAGCAGCCACCCACTCCGGCGACAGAAATTCTTCCCCCTCGAATTCTTCCCGATCCGCAAAAACCTCGATATAAAGCGCGAAGGAAATCTGAAATCCTATGTCTCCTCTCTCTGTCTCTGCTAGTCGCACTCGATTCGGCGGCGCGCCGGGTTCGAAGTTTGGCTGTCTGTTCAGCTTTAGGCTCTGAGCTGCGATACACCTGACCTCGATCCTAGCCGGTAGAAGGTGTAGAGGGTAGGGGGGGGGTCTGCCGCGGGGCGAGACCCTCGATCCACGCGCCCTGATCGTATTCGCAACGACTAACCGCGGCGGCCTCGCGAGGCCTGGATCAGCAGCGGCGCGGGGTCCGCTGTGTGATATTTGGATCAGCTGTTATATTGCTTGTGGAAGGAACCGGAGCGGGAGGAGGGGCACGGGAATGAAAAGGGAAAAAAAAGAAAATAATAAAACGATAAAAAAAATAACCTTGTTTGGATAGATGAGCATCGCGGCGGCGCGTTTTATCGCTCGACGTGCGCTTTATGGGGGCGTTTGCCTGTCATCGACTCGGCACGCCCCGCGCCGCGTCACGTGGGAGAGCAAAATAAAAAAAGGCACAAAGTAAGAGAGTCTTTCTCGCGGATTTTCTCTCTGCTTCTCTCTCCCTGCGAGCGACGACGATGATCGATGAGAGCGGCCCGATCGGCTCCGGCGGCGCGGATGAGACGCTGAACGCGCGTGCCGCTCAACACACGCGCGTGTGCGCGGCCGCGATGTTGATGCGGTCGTGTCCAATTTGGAGATCTCCCCCGCCGCCGCGGCAGCCCAGCAAGCCTTTTGCGTTCGATGGGAATAAATGTCAAAGGCGATTTGATTTTATTTTTTAATCGTGTTTGTCTGAGGAGACGACGGTTGT